GCAGTATATTCACGCCATTAGTTTTGCATAAAGAGATTATTTTGGAGCGAAGGTTAGTGTCGAACCGAAGACACGATGAGGAAATGGAAAGAGAAGAAGTTAAAGTCGGATAGATGTTTATTCACTTTTTAAAGAAAACTTTTACTCCCGCTTCAGAAATGCCGTATGTGGAGTGTGTGAAGCAAAGCAGGTCAGGGCATCTATGGTCCCTCTCTCTGGTCCCTCTCTCTGGTCTCTCTCTCTGGTCCCTCTCTCTGGTCTCTCTCTCTGGTCTCTCTCTCTGGTCCCTCTCTCTGGTCCCTCTCTCTGGTCTTTCTCTCTGGTCTCGCTCTCTGGTCTCGCTCTCTGGTCTCGCTCTCTGGTCTCGCTCTCTGGTCTCGCTCTCTGGTCTCGCTCTCTGGTCTCGCTCTCTGGTCTCGCTCTCTGGTCTCGCTCTCTGGTCTCGCTCTCTGGTCTCGCTCTCTGGTCTCGCTCTCTGGTCTCGCTCTCTGGTCTCGCTCTCTGGTCTCGCTCTCTGGTCCCTCTCTCTGGTCTCTCTCTCTGGTCCCTCTCTCTGGTCCCTCTCTCTGGTCCCTCTCTCTGGTCCCTCTCTCTGGTCCCTCTCTCTGGTCTCGCTCTCTGGTCTCGCTCTCTGGTCTCGCTCTCTGGTCTCGCTCTCTGGTCTCGCTCTCTGGTCTCGCTCTCTGGTCTCGCTCTCTGGTCTCGCTCTCTGGTCTCGCTCTCTGGTCTCGCTCTCTGGTCTCGCTTTCTGGTCTCGCTCTCTGGTCCCTCTCTCTGGTCCCTCTCTCTGGTCTCTCTCTCTGGTCCCTCTCTCTGGTCTTTCTCTCTGGTCCCTCTCTCTGGTCCCTCTCTCTGGTCCCTCTCTCTGGTCTCTCTCCCTGGTCTCTCTCTATGGTCTCTCTCTCTGGTCTTTCTCTCTGGTCCCTCTCTCTGGTCTCGCTCTCTTCTCTCGCTCTCTGGTCTCACTTTCTGGTCTCACTCTGATCTCTTTCTGGTTCCTCTCTCACTAGCCTCTCTCTGGTCTCTGGTCCCTCTCTCTCTCTAGTCTCTATGGTCTCTCTCTTTCTAGTCTCTGTCTCTGGTCTCTCCCTCTGGTCTCTCTCTATGGTCTCTCTGGTTTCTCTCTGGTCTCTGGTCCCTCTCTCTCTAGTCTCTATGGTCTCTCTCTTTCTAGTCTCTGTCTCTGGTCTCTCCCTCTGGTCTCTCTCTATGGTCTCTCTGGTTTCTCTCTGGTCTCTGACCAGAACTTGCCACCTCTGCTAATGTTTGGATCACCTTATAATGCTCCTTTTATCTCAATCTTAATCTTTCTTGTCCAAATGTAAAAACCTGAGTTGGGATTATGAACACACAGAATCCAGATTTACAAACATCTGGAAACATTCTCCTTTGATTCTCTCGACACGATCTAAACAATCAGCGCTCGTCGATGGTACTTAACGAAGGAAGCTGTTGAAGGGGATTTAATGGAGGACCAATAAGAGAGCAGCAAACCCATGATTGGACAATTACAATTAATGTCGTCTCGAGTGCTCGGACCGCGACGAGTCTAGAGGAAGACGATCCATACAGAGACTGAGGCATCGTCTGGAGGAGAGCCGTACACATTTGTCTCTATTCTCTACTTTTGACTTGTTTGCACCGAGTAAGTAAGTAAGTAATGTTTATTTATATTGCACATTTTACAGACCAAGGTACAGACCCAAAGCACTTTACAATGTTCAGAGTCAGATATTGTTCCAATCGTTTCACACACGGTGATGACAGAAGCGAGTCCAGAACACACTGGACCATCAGCTCCAACACCATTCACTCTCTCATTTACATTCAGACCTATTGTGCATGTTTTTAGTGGTAGAGGAAACCGGAGCACCTGGAGGAAACCTACGCAGACACGGGGAGAACATGCAAACTCCACCCAGAAAGGCCCTGTTCCGACGGGGATTCGAACCCAGGACTTTCTTGCGGAGAAGCGAGAGTGCTAACCACTCTGCCACCAAGAACCAAAGCCATTTCCTTGTCTGTGACTTCCTGTTCCTTACAAGATTCTGATTCTGATACAGCGGGTCAAACTCAGGCCCGAGGGTCAAATCCGGCCACGAGACCAGTTTTTGTGGTCCCTGAAATGATTCTCAACCTTCATTAATACAGTGACGTGCAGCACTGATATGAGAATGATTCTTTATTCGGACAATGCAAAAGAAAACAAGAAAAAAAAGAAAAACACTTATACGTGCACAATGTATGTACAATATGGTCTCTTAAGAAATAAAAATTAATCATGTCCGAGAGGGAGCAGGAAGAACAATAATACTTAATAAATATGTATAATGTAATGAGATACTGTTATATACTTCAGTGTTCCCCAACCGTTTGAGCCGTGGCACACCTTTGTCATTACAAAGAACCACACGGCACTACACAAACTCAACGTGATACAAATTGTAAACTCTACAGCGTTTTTTAACAACACAAAGTCGTTCATATCCATGTGTATCATAACGCAAATCAAACAAACACAACAACATCTTTCTGTTTATCTCACATTACTTTGACCAAGCAGGTGATACTCCATCATTTCCAAGGCACACCAACGTGCCACGGCCCACTGGTTGAAAAACACTGATATACTTCAGTTGGGGACTCATTTCTGTAAACGTCGACTCAATGTCTTTTGCCCGATCATGAGTTTGCAAAAAATTGAATTATATGAATAAATTGTATTAAGTTTATTTAATGAATGTGTCGTTGCCAAAACTCAAAGAGAACAGACTTTTCAACCGATTAAAGGAGACGTCTCTGTCACTTTGATCCTGAAAAAGTAGCTCTTTGTGGGAAAATAGTTTTTAGACCCCAGTGCTAGGAACTGTACCCAGCACACACAGAGACACACACACAGACAGTGACACATGTACACACAGACGCACTTACACACACACACACACACACAGACAGTGACACATGTACACACAGAGACACACTAGCACACACTCACAGACACACATATGCACAGACACAAACTCACACACACACACACGATAAGAGACACACTCACACACACAGACACACTCACACACAAACAGAGACACACACACACATACACCTACAAACACACACACACATACAGACTCACAGAGACACACTCACCCACACACACAGACACTCACACACACACACAGACAGTGACACATGAACACACACACACACACACACACACACACAGAGACACACTAGCACACGCTCACAGACACACATATGCACAGACACACACACAGAGACAAACTCACACACACACGATAAGAGACACTCACACACACACAAATACACACACACACTCACACAGATACATACACACACACACACACACTCTCACACACACACACTCACACACACACACACTCACACACACACACACACACGCTCACACACACACACACACACACACACACACACTGCTGCGATGGAAGGTTAATTGAAAAAGGCCCAAACGACACATGAGCTGAAACTATCAATACAGACCAGAGCTGCCACTTACCCACAATCCTCTCTGGCTCCCGCGACTAAACGTAGCTTTGCGCGGCTAATGAACTGGTCTCCGTGAGTCCATTTAGCCGTTGTTTTTGTAAAGCTTTAACACATCCTCTTTGTGTTCTTTTAGTGCCGCGCTGGAAACTTTCTCTCAGAGTTGTCTTGTGTTTTTTTGGCTGAAATGTGAAGTCTAGTCTTTAAAGTGTGGACTTCAGTCTGAATGAAGATGGATTTGGTCTGTGTTTGTCAGAGCTGGATCTGAACGGGACAGAAATGGACTCATGTTTTCTCAAATATGAAATGTTTTAGTCCTGGTCTGAGGTCTCTGCTCCCTGTGGGTCCGAGAAGACACTGAGGCAGCAACACAACCTGAAGAACACCCGTTAGAGTAGGGCTCTCTCTCTGTCTCTCTCCCTCATCACTCTATCTCTCTCTCTCTCTTTTTTCCTCTATCCCCTCTCTCTTTGTCTCTCCCTCATCACTCTCTCTCTTTTTTCCTCTATCCCCTCTCTCTTTGTCTCTCCCTCATCACTCTCTCTCTTTTTTCCTCTATCCTCTCTCTCTCTGTCTCTCCCTCATCACTCTCTCTATCTCTCTCTCTCTTTTTTTTCTTCTATCCTCTCTCTCTGTCTCTCCCTCATCTCTCTCTCTGCATCTCTCCCTCCTCTCTCTCTCTTTTTCCTCTATCCCCTCTCTCTTTGTCTCTCCCTCATCACTCTCTCTCTTTTTTCCTCTATCCTCTCTCTCTGTCTCTCCCTCATCACTCTCTCTATCTCTCTCTCTCTTTTTTTTCTTCTATCCTCTCTCTCTGTCTCTCCCTCATCTCTCTCTCTGCATCTCTCCCTCCTCTCTCTCTCTTTTTCCTCTATCCCCTCTCTCTTTGTCTCTCCCTCATCACTCTCTCTCTTTTTTCCTCTATCCTCTCTCTCTCTGTCTCTCCCTCATCACTCTCTCTATCTCTCTCTCTCTCTTTTTTCTTCTATCCTCTCTCTCTGTCTCTCCCTCATCTCTCTCTCTGCATCTCTCCCTCCTCTCTCTCTCTTTTTCCTCTATCCCCTCTCTCTTTGTCTCTCCCTCATCACTCTCTCTCTTTTTTCCTCTATCCTCTCTCTCTCTGTCTCTCCCTCATCACTCTCTCTATCTCTCTCTCTCTCTTTTTTCTTCTATCCTCTCTCTCTGTCTCTCCCTCATCACTCTCTCTATCTCTCTCTCTCTCTCTTTTTTCCTCTATCCCCTCTCTCTTTGTCTCTCCCTCATCACTCTCTCTCTTTTTTCCTCTATCCCCTCTCTCTTTGTCTCTCCCTCATCACTCTCTCTCTTTTTTCCTCTATCCCCTCTCTCTTTGTCTCTCCCTCATCACTCTCTCTCTTTTTTCCTACTATCCTCTCTCTGTCTCTCTCTCCCTCATCACTCTCTCTATCTCTCTCTCTCTTTTTTTTTCTATCCTCTCTCTCTCTGTCTCTCCCTCATCACTCTCTCTATCTCTCTCTCTCTCTCTCTTTTTTCCTCTATCCCCTCTCTCTTTGTCTCTCCCTCATCACTCTCTCTCTTTTTTCCTCTATCCCCTCTCTCTTTGTCTCTCCCTCATCACTCTCTCTCTTTTTTCCTCTATCCTCTCTCTCTGTCTCTCCCTCATCACTCTCTCTATCTCTCTCTCTCTTTTTTTTCTTCTATCCTCTCTCTCTGTCTCTCCCTCATCTCTCTCTCTGCATCTCTCTCCTCTCTCTCTCTCTTTTTCCTCTATCCCCTCTCTCTTTGTCTCTCCCTCATCACTCTCTCTCTTTTTTCCTCTATCCTCTCTCTCTCTGTCTCTCCCTCATCACTCTCTCTCTCTCTCTCTCTTTTTTTTCTATCCTCTCTCTCTGTCTCTCCCTCATCTCTCGCTCTGCATCTCTCCCTCCTCTCTCTCTCTTTTTTCCTCTATCCCCTCTCTCTTTGTCTCTCCCTCATCACTCTCTCTCTTTTTTCCTCTATCCTCTCTCTCTCTGTCTCTCCCTCATCACTCTCTCTATCTCTCTCTCTCTCTTTTTTCTTCTATCCTCTCTCTCTGTCTCTCCCTCATCTCTCTCTCTGCATCTCTCCCTCCTCTCTCTCTCTTTTTCCTCTATCCCCTCTCTCTTTGTCTCTCCCTCATCACTCTCTCTCTTTTTTCCTCTATCCTCTCTCTCTCTGTCTCTCCCTCATCACTCTCTCTATCTCTCTCTCTCTCTTTTTTCTTCTATCCTCTCTCTCTGTCTCTCCCTCATCTCTCTCTCTGCATCTCTCCCTCCTCTCTCTCTTTTTCCTCTATCCCCTCTCTCTTTGTCTCTCCCTCATCACTCTCTCTCTTTTTTCCTCTATCCTCTCTCTCTCTGTCTCTCCCTCATCACTCTCTCTATCTCTCTCTCTCTCTCTTTTTTCTTCTATCCTCTCTCTCTGTCTCTCCCTCATCACTCTCTCTGTGTCTCTCTATCTCTCTCTCTGCATCTCTCCCTCCTCTCTCTCTCTTTTCCTCTATCCCCTCTCTCTTTGTCTCTCCCTCATCACTCTCTCTTTTTTCCTCTATCCTCTCTCTCTCTCTCTCCCTCATCACTCTCTCTCTTTTTTCTTCTATCCTCTCTCTCTGTCTCTCCCTCATCACTCTCTCTGTGTCTCTCTATCTCTCTCTCTGCATCTCTCCCTCCTCTCTCTCTCTTTTTTCCTCTATCCCCTCTCTCTTTGTCTCTCCCTCATCACTCTCTCTCTTTTTTCCTCTATCCTCTCTCTCTCTGTCTCTCCCTCATCACTCTCTCTTTTTTCCTCTATCCTCTCTCTCTCTGTCTCTCCCTCATCACTCTCTCTCTTTTTTCCTCTATCCTCTCTCTCGCTGTCTCTCCCTCATCACTCTCTCTTTTTTCTTCTATCCTCTCTCTCTCTGTCTCTCCCTCATCACTCTCTATCTCTCTCTCTCTTTTTTCTTCTATCCTCTCTCTCTGTCTCTCCCTCATCACTCTCTCTGTGGCTCTCTATCTCTCTCTCTGCATCTCTCCCTCCTCTCTCTCTCTTTTTTCCTCTATCCTCTCTCTCTCTCTTTTCCCCTCTATTCTCTCTCTCTGTCTCTCTCCTCTCTCCCTCCTTCTCCCTGTGTCTCCCTCTCTCTCTACCTCTGTCTCCCTCCCTCTCTCTCCCCCCCTCCTCTCTATCTGTCTGTCTCTCTCTCCCACCCTCCTCTCTCATTCTCCCTCCTTCCTCTCTCTCTTTCTCTCTCCCTCCCTTTTCTCTCTCTCCCTCTCCTCTCTGTGTCTGTCTCTCTTCTCTTTCGCTCTCCCTCCTTTCTCTCTCTCCTTCGCTCTCCCTGTCTCTCCCTCTCTACCTCTGTCTCCCTTCCTCTCTCTCTCCCTCCTCTCTACCTGTGTCTGTCTCTCTCCCCCACCCTCCTCTCTCTCTTTTTCTCTCCCTCCTCTCTCTCTTTCTCTCTCCCTCCTCTCTCTGTCTCCCACTCTCCTCTCTTTCTTTTTCTCTCCCTCCTCTCTCTCTGTCTCCCTCATCTCGCTCTCTCTCTCCCTCCCCTCTCTCTGTGTCTGTCTCTCTTCTCTTTCCCTCTGTCTCTGTCTCTCTCCTCTCTCCCTCTCCCTGTCTCTCTCTCTCTCCCTCTTCTCTACCTGTGTCTGTCTCCCCCCTCTCTCTCCATCCTCTCCTCCTCCCCCCCCCCCCCCCCCCCCCCCCCCCCTCTGCTCCAGTCTGGGCAGAGGCACATGTCATTCTCAGCCTTGTAAAGCTCGCTGCTGCTCTGACAGTTCTGACAGCGCTGGGTCGACACAGCCACAACACACCACAGGGGGCGCCGCTGGGTGGTCAGAGATGGACCATGGGGCAGTGGACTGGACTGGGCTCCTGCTGCGGGGTAAATGCACAGGACAACTCTCAACTTTGAGCAACTTTGGGAGGAGGTTATTCATATGAAAATGCAGATTGTTGTGTGAGAATCGAGCATCCGTCTAAAGCTGTGTCCAGTGGAACACGAAAGAAGCAGAGGTCTGGGATCAAGTCTCAGCTGAAGACACATTTTCATATTTTTACACGGAATAAGATTAAGATTTAGAGATGCCTTATTGGTCCCACATGGAGAAATGTCAGTGTTGCATCAGCAGTTTCAGAACAGTAGGAATGAGGAGATAAACAGGACATAACATATCAAGATACAACAAAACATACTGTATATTCTCATGTATTATATGACTTGGATCGTACGCGCGCTCTGATTGGCTGATTTGCGGTCTGATATTTTCCCATCTCGGACCGTTACCATGACAATTGGTCCGCAGCGCGTATAAAATTTGATATCTAATGAGCGACGACTGGGAGCATTCTCAGTGAATTCTATTATCCGGACGAGTTGGAAGAGCCAGAAGAAGTAATAACAGCAAATAACGACGAAAACACAACTTCTAACAGTCAAGAAGAGATTGACAACTTCGTTACAGATCAGAAAGGTAAAAACACGATCAGGAAAACCAAGTCGGACATGAACATACTTCAAAAATATCTAAAAAGCATTGGTAAAGACACAGAAGAGATTGAGAACTTACAGCGGGCGCCTCAATCATCTGATAAGTTCTCCATGTCACTATTTGACAGTTTGGTGTTTTTAGTTGAAACCGATCGATATTGGCACAAATTAAAAATAGTCATATAATAAAACATTTATCAACCTCGCTTGCTCGGTCTGTACAGAGAAACATCAGACCGAGGCCTTTTACGACCTTGCGTTTGTTTAATAAGGCGTTAGTATTGCTTCTTTTTCTATTGTTTTGTTGTTCTTTGTTCTTGTTTGCCATGGCTCGAAATAAAATATCCATTCATTCATTCATACAAAACACCATAAAATCTCTAACTTTAGCATGACAAAGAAGCACTGTATATTCTAGTGCAAGAAGTATATAGTTGTATGTGTTAAGGCTGGGAACGAAAAATCGATATTTGAACACAATTTGACTATTAACAAAAATAAATGACATTCGGAAGAATATTAGAAAGGGGGTATTTGAATATTTGAATATTTTAGTGGTATGATTAGCTCGGTTTTAATTGAATTGAACACAAATGCTATCTATTTATCTGCTGTATTAAGTCTGGGTAATACCAAGAACCAAGGAACCAATCATATGCACTGTAGGTGAAATTCTCCAGCTCCATGTCCTCCTGAACCGACAAGGTAACTTTATTTAAAAATAATACACGGACAAGTCAATTACATAAAACGAGGACAGTACAGACACAGCACACCTCGACCGACGCAACTTATCTGATGAAACTAATGCCAAAAAAATCCATCAGCCAAGTATTAAACAGATACAGGGGGTTGGTTGTGTGTTGTTGGTTGGGTGTTGGGGTTTTGGTGGGGTGGTTTTGGTGGGTGTTGTGTGTTTTGTGGGGTGGTGTTTTTGGGGGGTTGTGGGGGTTTTGGGGTTGTGGTTGTGGGGTGTGTGGGGGTGTTTGTGGTTTGGGGGGGGTTGGGGGTGGGTGGTTGGGAGGTTTTTTGTGGGTTTGGTGTTTGTGGGGGGTTGGGTTGGTGGGTGTGTTGGGTGGGTGGGTTTGTGGGGTGTGTTTGTGGGTTTTGTTTGGTTGTTGGGGTTGTGTGGGGGTTGTTTGTTGTGTGGTTGGGGGTTGAGTTTGTTTGGTGTTTTGTGTTGTTTTGGTTAGGGTTTTTGTTGGTGATGGTGTTGTAGTGTGGTTTTGGGGTTGTGTTGGGTGGTTGAGTAGGTGGTTTGGGGGTTTGTGGTTTGGGGTTGTATTAGGAGGTGTTTTGGTGGTGTGGTTTTGGTTGTGGTTGTGTTGGGGTTTTTGGGTGTATTTGGGAAGTTTTTGGGTGTTGTTGGTGATGGTGGTTTGGTTGGGGTTTTTGGTGGGGTTGGTTGTTGAGTGTTGTTGTGTGTTTTTTGGGTTGTGGTGTTGTGTTAGGGGGTTTTGTTGGTGTGTTTTTGTGGGTTTGGTTGTGGTGGGTGGTTGGTGGGTTGGTGTTTTGGTTTGTGTTGTTTGAGGGGTGTAGGGTAGAGGTGGTATGGGTTTAGAGTATGTTGATGGAATAGGTAGGTGGTAGTAAGGGGTTGTGAGGGATTGGTGAGTAGTAGTAGAGTGGTTTTGGGTTTGAGATGTGATGGTAGGAGGAGAGTGTAATGGTTTTAGTATTGTTGTTGGGATGTATTAGAGTGGTTATGGTTAGTGTTGTGTGGGGTTGGTTGGTTAGATGGTTTGGTTTGAGGTTTGTGTGTGGTTGGTGTAGGGAGGTATTGTTAGAGTATGTTGTTGGTAGTATTAGAGGAGGTATTGGGGTTGGTTGGTTTTGGTGGGTTTTGGTGTGTTTTGGGTGAGAGGTTTGTTGGGATGTATGAGAGGTTGTTGGTTTTGGGTTTTGGTTTTTTTTATGTGGGGTGTGGGTTGTTGGGTGGGGTGGGGTTTGGTGTTGGGTGTGGGTGGTAGGTGGTTGTAGTTGTTGGGGGGTGGTGTTGGTTGTGGTTGTTGTTTTGTTTGTTGGTTTGGGGGGTGTTTTGAGGGTTTTTTGTGGTGGGGGTGTGTGGTTTGTTTGTGTTGTTTTGGGTTTGGGTTTTGGGGTGGGTTTTGGGGTTTTTGTTTTATTGTTGGTTGTTGGTTTTTTGGGGGGGGGTGGTGGGGTGGTGTGGTTGGGGGATGTGGTTTGTGGGGGTTTTTTGATTGGGGGGTTGGTTGGTTTTTTTGGTGTGTTGTGGGTTTGTTTGGGTGGTGTGTTTTGTTAGTTTTTTTTGGAGTTGTGTTGTTTTTGTTTGTGTGTAGTTTTGATGTTGGTTTAGGGTTATTTATTTTAGGGTAGTGTGTATGGAATTTTAGTTGTAGTTGGGGGAGGTTTTTGGGTTTTTTAATTATATGGTAGTGTTATATGGATATTTTTTATATGGGGGAATGTTATTTGGGATTTTATTTTATTGGGTTGTGTGGGTATAAGGATTGTTATTAGATGGTGTGGTGTATATGGATATGGTGTTTATGGTGAGTTGTATAGGTTTGGGATGGTTTTGTTGGTGTGTGGGTTGTAGGTTTGTTTTGTGTTGTTGGGGGTTTTGGGTTTGTGGATTTGTGGTTGTGGATATGGGTTTTGAGTTTGATTGGGGGTGTGTGTTTTTTATGGAGAGTTTTGTTTGGTTTGTGGTTATAGTATTGAAGGAGTGGGATGGTTTTGGGTTTGTGTTTGTTGGTTGGGGGGTGGTTGTTTGTTTTTTTGTGGGGTGTGGTGTTTTTTTATTTGTGTTGGGTGTGTGTGTTTTTTGTTAGATATATAGGGTGTGGGTGTGTTATGGATTTTTTTGTTTTGTGGTTAGTGGGTTAAGTATATTTTATGTGTGGGGTGGGTGTAGGGTTGTTTTTGTGTGGGTTGGGTGTTGTGTGTTTTTGTGTGTTGGTGATTAGGGTGAGTTTTTGTTTTGGGGTTGTGGTTTGGTTTGGGTGGGGGGGGTGGGGTTGTGTTTGGTTTTGTTTGTTGTTTTTTGTTTTGTGGTTTGGATAGATGTAGGTGGTTTTTGTTTGTGTGTTTTGTTTTGTTGTGTTTGTTTTGTTTTTTTGTTGTTTGTGTTGTTTTTGTTGTGTTGTTTGTTGTTTTGTTGTGAGTGTGTTGTTGTGTGTTGGTTGGGTGTGGGTGTTGTTGTGTGTGTGTTGTGAGTTTTAGATGTTGTTTTTGTGTTTGTTGGGTGTTTTTTGTGTGTGTTGTGTGTTTGGTTGTTTTTGGTGTGTTTGTGTTTTGTTTTTTTTTGTTTGTGTTGTGTTTTTTTTTTGTGTATTGTGGTTTGGTTTTGTTTATTTTGTTGTTTGTTGTGTGTTAGGTGAGTTTGGTTTTATGTTTTGTTTTTATTGTTGTGTTTGTGTTGTGGGTTTTTGTTATGGTTATTTGGGGGATTTGTTTGGTGTAGTGGGTTTTGGGGTGTTTGTGGGTTGATTTTGTAATTTTTGTGGGTGGTTTTTTTTGTGTATGTTAATTGGTTGATTTGTGGGTTTTTATTGGGGATTGTAGTTTTGTATAGATGGTATGTTTTTTGTTGTTTTTATGGTGTTTTGTGGAGTGTTGTGTTGTTAGATGTGTGTGTTTTGAGATGATAATAGGGGGTGATGATAATAGGGTATGTTAATAGGGGGAATGATAATAAAGGGTATAATAATAGAGGTATTATAATAGGGGTAGTTAATTGGTATTTTTGAGGATTTGTATTGGGTTATATTGGGTATGAGATTTGGGGGTAGAGAATTGGTTTTTAATTGGATTAGATATAGTGTTTGATGTTTTGGTGGTGGTTAATGTTTGGTGGTGGGGTGTTTGGATGGGGTAGTGATTTTTTATGTGTTGTTGGTGGAGGGGGTGTTGTTGGGTGGATTTGGAGAAGTGAGCTTGGTGTTTGAGGGAATAGAAATATTAATGGGAGTGGTTTTTGGGGATTTAGTGTTTTTTGGAGGGTGGTTGGGGTGGTTTTGGTTTTTAGTGTATTTTTTTTTTTGTGTATGTTATTTGGTGGTGGAGTGTGGGGGGTTTTGTGTTTTGGAGGGGGGGGTGTGTGTATGGGTGGTGTTTTGTGGGTTTGGGGTTAGTGTAGGTTGGTGTTTGTGGATTTGTGTGTGGGTGTTTGTGTTTTTGGTTTTGTGGTGTTGTGGGTTTTGGTGTGTTGGGTTGGTGTTGTGTTTTTGTTGTGGTGTGGTTTGTTGGTGTGTGGGTGTGGTGGTGGTGTTGTGTGGGTGATGGTGTTGAGGGTGTGTTGGGTGGTGATTTGGGGTGTGTGGTGGTGGGTGTGTGTTGATATGTTTGTGTTGTGTGGGTGATTTTATTTTGTGTTTGGGGGGAAGTGGTATTTTGTTAGTTGGGGTGTTGTTGTGTGTTGGGGGTTGGGTTTGTGTGTGTGGTTTTGGTTGGTTATGTAATTGATTTTGTGTGTTGGGGTTTGGTTGGGGTTGTTGGGGTTGATGATATTGGTGGTGGGGGGGGGTTTGGTTGGTTGTGAGTGGGTTGGGAGTGTTATGTGTGGGGTTGGTTTGAGGTTTGAGTGAAATGGGGGTTAGAGTTATGATGGGTTAGGTGAAAGGGAGGTTTAGGTTAAGTGTGTTTTGTGGTTGTGGTGTTTGAGTGAATGAGGGTTGAGTTAAGAGAGGTTAGTTTAGAGAGGTTTGAGTGTTAGTGGTTTTGAGTTATGTAGATGTTTTAATTTTGTGTGAGTGGATGGTGTATGTTGTTTTTGTGGGGAAGTTAAGGGGAGTTAAGTGTTGAGTTTTGAGTGTAGAGATGGTAGTTAGAGGAGTTTTAGTTTTGGAGTGGTGTTTTTGGTGGTGTAGTGGTATGGTGGGTTTGGGGTGTTGGGGTGTTTGTTGTTGGGGATGGTTTGTTTTTGTTTAGTGTGGTTTTGTGTGTGTTGGTGTGGGTTTGGGGGTGTGTTGGTGTGTTGGGTGTGTGGGGGTGTGGTTGTGTTGGTTTGTGTTTTGGGTGGTGGTTGGGTTTGGTGGTTTGGGTTGTGTGGTGTGGGTTGTGTGTTGGTTGATGGAGGTTGTTGTGGTGTGGTGTTTTGTTGGGGTTGGGTTGGGATGGTAGTGGGTTTGTTTTTGGATGTGGTGTGTGTAGGTGTTTTTTTGTTTGGTGGTGTGTTTTTGTGGTGTTGTGTGTTTTTTATTGGGGGTTGTGTTGTTGGTTTTGTTGTTGGATTGGTGGTTGGTTTTTTGGGGGTGTGGTTTGTTGGTTGTTTGTTTGTGTTGTATTTTTTGAGTGGGGATTGGTTTTGTGTATGGGTTGGTGGGTTGTGTTTTTGGTTGGGTCTTGGTGGGTGTGGTTGTGGGTTTTGGGTTTTGTGGTTTTGGTGTGGTGTTGTGTGTGGGGTGTGTGGTTTGGTGGGTTGTGTTGGTGTGTTGGGGATTGGTGTGTGTGGTGTGTTGTTGTTGGTTGTGGGTTGGGTGTGTGGTTTTGTTGTTTGATGGTTTGGTGGTGTTGGTGAGTGTGTTTTGTGATTGTGGTGGTGAGTTATGGGGTGTTGATGATGTGGTTATGTTAAGGTGGTTTGTGTAAGGAGGTTTAGTTTGAAGAGTGGTTTAGTTATGAGGAGGTTTTAGTTATGGGAGGGTTTAGAGTGAGAGGAGTTTTAGTAGAGTGTTTTGAGTGGTGTTTGAGGTGGGTTGAAGTTATGAGGATTTAGTGTTAAGGGAGTTTAAGTTGAAGAGTTAGAGAATGGTGTAGAAGTTGATAGAGTTTAGAGTTGAGATGGTTTTTTGAGATGGTGTGGTGGTTGATGTTTGAGGTTTAGTGGGTAGTGTGGTAGAAGAGAGGGTTTAAGTTTAGAGGGAGTGTTATTGGAGTGGAGTTTAGTGTTAGTATTTTTGTGTTGTATGTGGAGGGTTGTGTTGATATGAATGGTTTGAGTTTAGTTAAGTTTGTATATTGAGGAGGGGTTGATGTTAAGGGAGTTTTGTATTGGTTGGGATTTAATTATGGAGGTTTTGAAGTTGGAGAGGGGTGGTGTATGTGTGAGTGGTGTGTTTGGAGGTTTTTGGGGAGTGTGTTTTGGGGTTAGGGTTGGTTGGGTGGTGTTGGGTTGGTGGTTGGTTTGTGGGGTGTGGGTGTTGGTTTTGTTGTGGTGGTTTTGTTGTTGGTGTTTTTGGTTTGTTGTTGTGTGTGTGTGGTTGTGTTGTTGGGTGGGGGTGTGTTTGTGGTGTGTGGTTGGTGTGTGTGGTGGGGGGTGTGTGTTTGTTGTTTGGTTTGGGTTTTTTTTGGGTTGTTGGTTGTGGTTGTGTTGGTGTGTTGTTTTGTTTTTGGTTTTGGTTTGTTGGTGGGTTTGTGGATGTGTTTGGTGGGGGTGTGTTGGTGTGTTTGTGGGTTGTTGTGTGTGTGGGGGTTTGGTGGGGTTGTTGGTGGGTTTGGTGGTGTGGGGTTTTGGTGGTGTTGGTTGTGTTGTTGGGGGGTGTTTGATTTTGTGTTTTGTTTGGTTTTTGTTGTTTTTTGTGTGTTTGGGGGGTGTGGGGGGGTGTTTGTGTTGTGATTTGGGTTAGTGGATGTTGTGTTGTGTTGTGTTTTGTTGTTGTGTGTTGTGTGTGTGTTTTTGTGTGTTGTTTTGTTGTTGTGGTTGTGTGAGTTGTGTTGGTTTGTTGTGTTGTGTGTTTGTGGTGGTTTTTGGTTGGTTTGTTGTTGTTGGTTGTGTTTGTTGTGGTTTTTTGTGTGTTTGTTGTTGTGGTTGTGTTGTGTGTTGTGGTTTGGTTTGTTGATTTTGGTGTATTTGATGAAATGTTGTTTTTGGTTGGTGGATATTGTTTTTGTGTGGTTTTGTTTTGTTTTTTTTTGTTTGTTTGTTGTGTGTTGTTGTTGTTTGGTTGTAGGTTGTTTTGTTTATGGAGTATAAGATAAGGTTTTTAAGTAGTTTTTTTTGTTGGTGTTTGTGTGGTTGTGGAGAGTGGTGGTGTTTTTAGTGGTTTGGAGTTGTTTTTGTGTAGTGTTGTGGGTTTGTGTGTTTGTTTGGGGGGATTGGTGTGGTTGTTGTTGGTTTTGTTTTTTGGTAGGTATATGGTTAGTTGTTGTTTATTTATTGGGGGGGGGGTATGTGGGTTTTTGGGTTTATTGTTGTTGGGGGTGTTTTATTGTGGGGGTGTTTGGGGGGTGGGGGGGGGGTTTGGTGTGGTGTTGGTGTTTGGTTTGGTGTGGTTGTGGTTTTGTTGATTTTGTGTTTTATGGGGGTATTGTTTGGGGTTGGGTTTTTTGGTTTGGTGGGTTGGTGGTTTGGGGGTGTGTGGGTGTTTGGGTTTGGGGGGTTGGGTTTTTTGGTTTTTTTGGTTGTTATTGATGGTGGTTTTGTTGTTTTTTTGTTTTTTATGGTGTGTAGGGTTTGGTTTGTTTGTTTGTTGTGTTGTGTTGGGGTTGGGTGTTGGGTGGGGTTTGAGTTATGTTTGGTTGTTTTGTTTGTGTGGTTGGGTGGTTGTGTTTGAGGGGGAGGGTTAGAGTGTTTTTATTAGGGGGAGTTGTATTGTTGGGATAGTATGTGTTGTGGGGTTTTGTATATATATATATAGATTTATTTAGGGTTGATGTAGAATGTAAGTTTTGTAATGTGATTATTTAATGAAAGAGGATAGATGGATAGAGAGGTGTTTTAATGTGGGGGGAATGGGGGATTTTAAGAAGTTAGATGAGATTAATAGTGTGATTGTGTGGGTGTGGGTTTTGTTTTTTTGGAGAGTGTTAATGTGTTGGGGTAGAGATGATTTGTAGTTTTGGTTGGTATGTTTTAGTTTGTTGGTGGTTTTGGTTTGGTTTTTGTGGTGTGTTTAGTTTGGGTTAGGTTTTGGGGTTTGGGGGTGTTTTATGTTTGTTTTTTTTTTTGGTTGTTGAGATGATTTTTTATTTTGTTGTTTTTTTTTTGTTGGGGGATATGGTGGTGGTGGGGGGGGTGGGGGTGGGGGGGTGGGGGGGTGGTGTGTGGTTTTTTGGGGTGGGTGGGGTGTTGTTTTTGTGGTTGTGTGGTTGGGTGGGTGTGGGGTTTGGTGTGGTGGGGTGTTGTGTGTTTGTTTTGGGGTGTAGGGGGTTGTGGTTGGTGTTTTGTGTGTGGGGTGTTTAGGATGGGGGTTGGTGTATTTATGTTTGTTTGGTGGTTTGGTTTGTTTGTGTTGGGGTTAATTTGTGTTGTATTAGGTATGTTTTGTGATTGTGGGGGGTGGTGGGTTTGGTTGTTGTGTTTTGTGGTTGTGTGTGGTGGTTTTTGTTATGGTTTTAAGATTTATGGTGTTTTTGTTTTATAGGGTGAATTATATTATTATTGTAGGGTTTTATTTGAGTATTGGATTGTGTTGGGGGTTTTTGGGTGTTTGTTTTGGATGTGTGATATATGGGGGTTTTTATTTTGTTTATATGTTGTGGGGTTGTGTTTGGGGGGGGTGGTTTGGGGGTTGGTTGTTTGTGTGGGGGTGGGGTTTGAGTGGTTGTTTTTTTGTTGGTTTGTTGGTTGGGGGTTGTTTGTTTGGGGGTTGTGGTTGTTGTGTATTGTGAGGTTGGGGGGGGGTGTTATGTGGGTGGGTTGGGGTTATTTGTTATGTGGTTTAGTTGGTTGTGTTTTTAGGTGTGGTGGTTTTTTGTGGTGGTAGTGTTTGTTTGGTTGGTATGGTTGTGTTGGGGGTTGTTTGTTATGTGTTGGTTATTGTTGTGTTTTTGTTTTGGTTGTTTGTTTGTAAGGGTGGTGGTGGTTATGGGGTGTTTGTTTATTTGTTTTTTGAGTGGGTTGGTTGTGGGGGGGTTGGGGGGTTTTATGGATGTGGGGGTTTTGGTGTTGGTTTGGTGGGGGGTTTGGATTTTGGTGGGGTGTTGTTGGGGGGTTTGGGTTTGGTGTTTTGTGGTTGGTGTTTTTGGGTGGGGGTGTTGGTGTGGTGGGAGTTTTTTGGTTGTGGGTGGGTGGGGGTGTGGGATTTGTGTTGGGGGTGGGGGGAGGGTTTTGGGGGGGGGGGGTGGATTTTTTGGGTGTTGGTGGGGGGGTGGTTGGGGTTGGGGGGGGGGGGGGGGGGGGTTGTGGGGGTGGTGTGGGGTTTGTTTTTTTGAGGTTTTGTTGGTTTTGGTGTGTTTTTTTTGGGGTGTGTTGGATGGTGTTGTGTTTTGTTTGGTGTTTTTTTTTTTGTTTGTTTTTGGTGTGTTGTTTTGTTTATTGTAGGTTTATGTGTAGGTGTGTTTTAAGATTTGTTGTTTTTTTTTATGGTGGTTTGTTTATTGGTGGTGGTGGGGTGTTTTGTTGATTTTGTTGGTTTAGTTGTTTGTGTTTTTGTTTTATGGTGTTGTTGAGTTTGTTTTTGTTTTTGTGTATTGTTTGGTTGTTTTGGGTGTGGGGGGTGGTGGGGGGGTGGTGTTTTGTTTGGGGGTGTGTGGGGGGGGGGTGGGGGTGGGTGGGTGTGGGTTTTGTGTGGGGGGTTTGGTGTGTGGTTGGTTGGGTGGTGTGGGGGGGGTGGGTGTGTGGGGGCGGGGTGGGGTGGGTTGTTGGGTGTTTGTGGGGTG